CAGGGTTGGACCAGTGGTCCAGTGGAAAATGCTCAAGGTTGATCCTTCCTCTAGCCTCAGGTTTAAGGTATGGGCTAAAGGATGTGCCCACTGAACCCACAGGCTGGCCAGTGGTTAGCAGGGATGGTATTGGAAGGCCAGTTGGAAGGCCAGTTGTGGTGTAAGGACGAGGGGGGAGTCAGGCACCCGTGTTAATGTAGATGGTTGTCAAGGATCCAGTGACAATAGGTAATAGGGTACCCTCCTACACTGTCCCCACTATCTTTATACAAGACCCTGAGGAGGCAGATCAAAGGGCTAGCTGGGAAAAGGGACATGTGTGAGTGAGGGAGATTGTAGAAAAGTTACCCAGATACCCTGGTTCCGAGGATATATTTTTTTATGGGGTTATTGCATGTTTTGGGGTCCCTGTGATATGTTTTATAATACTGTATTTCTTTGCCTGTGATAATTATATTAACCATTGTGTTCAGTAATGATATCATAGGCAGAGGGGAGGATTTTGTGAGGGAGTGCCTGTGTGTATTGTACAGATTGATTGGTTGTATTTCAAAACCCTGTGGGCAGTACTATGTTTGTAGAATGTGAATAAAAGAGGCTGTATGTGCCAGTACAGTCAGTTCTACTTCACCTTCAATTTGGAGTGCTGTCTCTTATTGGGGGAATCTGCTACAAGGGATTGCTATGCTCTGCATACTCTCTTGCTATATTCACTGCTAAGCTCTCGTAAGAGCTTGTTCCTGTTGCTCTCTGAAGGAGTCTACGGTGGTTATGGTGTCTGCTGCAGTGCTTGGAGTCCTCAGGAAGCACTAGGAGCATCCTTCAACGCAGGTACCCAGTCGGGGTGCCCGTCGATCCGTTACACTGGGATCCCTGAATAAACCAGCCACAATACACAATTCCACCCAATGGAACTAACACACAAAGCTTTATTTTCACACCAGATTAGGTGGTATCCGCATTACATAAAATTTATGGTGACAAACACAATCTAGTACAAATAACCAAAACATATGAGGAACACACAGGTAGTCATTATAGCTCAATAACATATTCATAGAGGGCAATGAGAAGAAATATCTCCCCTGCCTGAAGAAATCATAATATGCAAATCTACCAGATTATGCAAATTAATAAGCCTTGCTATTCAGGTAGGGCATATAGCTGTTTCAAGATCTTCACAATCAACAGATGGTGCTGTACAGGTTACACAGCCAAATCCACCTAGTTGGTCGAAAGCATCAGCAAGACAAAAGAGCACACAAAACATTTCACAATAAACTATTACATTACACTATACACCCCCTGCACCTATAATGGCATTAGAAAATAATGCCAGGACCTACATAAAGTGTCCATCTTTTGCTCATGGTGATGGTGACTACCGTCACAACTTCAAATTGGATTTTCACCTTCTTTTGGATCACAGCATTAATATAGGTGTGTGAAAGGCTGGACTTGGTGGATCTATTTGGTGAGTCTATTTTTAGCCTATATAGACAGTAGACAGTGATATTATTAGTTTGCAGCAGGAAATGTAATAATTTGTTTAAGCAAAACTACAGAAACAATAAAGTTACTAACATGGCCTTTCATTAAAGTGAAAATTCGAAGTGACTTAAAAATTTGAGGACAAAATAGCTAAACTGGAAGCATAGCTGACTTAGAGAACTTATCCAGTTCAGCATTTTTGAGATGAAATTTAAAATTCACTGTAAATGCACTTTAAAATCTCACTTTATTGAATAACCCTGCAAATGGACAAGCAGCCATAATATATGGTGCCATTTGGGTCCCTATAAAACCAAGCCTTCTACATCTCTACTACACGCAATAGTATGTCTGACAGAGGGGACATATAGACTGATCTCCAACTAATTACAATGGTTGGAAACTGCTCAAAGCCTGTCAAGTACTAAACGGAAGCTGTTAATCCAATAAGGGAGGTCTATCAAGTGTTGTGTTCCAAAAAGAGTCCTAAAGGACTAAACATGGAGGAAAGAGCATGGAAACCATTAGAACCTGCAGGCACATTCCATTGCACTACTTTTTTATAATGGAACATGCCGACAAATTTCTTCCACTATCTGCAAAGGAAGGTGTGTTGTTGACCACATGCTAAAATTACAGAAGGAATCAAGCATGTAGGTGGCTCTATGAACGTGAGACCTCTGCTGGCCAATTAGAAATATTATTTCTGCAACATTCGCAGTTACTCACTAAAGTGAGAATTGTAGGGTATTCTACCAGGGTTATTCATGAAAGTCCAAATGTGTCTGTACTGTGTGGAGCAAAACCATGTTCTACAGTATGGGGCCATTTGGACTACATTCAGACATTGTTCACAGTATGTAACAATGTCTGTATTTTGCAAAGCAAGCTCTGAATTTGACCAGGATCTCAGGCGGACAAAAAGCTGTCGGACAGATTAAATCCGGACCTGGATTTGTAAATACCTCAGATCGTATACTTTCTTACTTTGGGTTTGTTAGGGATTAGGGTTCAGATGCGAAAAGCACTCCTTTGAAACCACACAGAATGCATCTGGCTAAGTGTTGCAAAAAGTGAATTTCAAGTTTCACCCCATGATGATCTATTAGTCAGATTTACTAAGATGTGAACTTTAATTAATTAATCCTGATTGTGCACTTAAAGGGACAATTAAGACTGAAATTTTCTTTCTTTTTTTGCAAACTATGCAAAAACTATGCAGAAACAACTTAGAATAAATTATTAAAAATATACTTTGCAAATCTCCATTTTTATTATCCTATCGGTCTTCATCTTTGTCCATTACAGGAAGCATATTTGCCAATCAGAAACCTCTCATTTTAGACTATAGAGTATTTATGTGACATATTTAACCCAGTTCCGCAGGAAGAGTCAAAATATAGGAGCTGCTTAACAGAAATGACCTCTTAAGGACACATGACGGAAATATTCCGTCATGATTCCCTTTTATTCCAGAAGTTGTGTCTCTGTATATACAACATTATTAGTAGTTTTCAGAGGAAGTAGTTCTAGAACTTGAAGCTAAACTACTATGTTTTGCTAAAGAAACACTCCAAGTACCATAACCACTAGAGACTGCTGTATTGATTAAGATGCCAGAAGGGTCCTGGTGTCCATCCAGAATAATTTGTCAAACTGATTAAGAACTGTTTTACAACGTTCTTCAATCCCCAGCTTACCTGGGCTGTATCCAGATTCTTCTATGTGAAAATAGTCCTCAAGTTCAAAAATATGTTTTGTTTTTTTACATGTTCTATGACTCCTAATAAGCTACAAATACCAAAACATGAAAACAATTCAGCTTTGAGACAATGATTCATTGTTTGTTTGTTTGTTTTCTCCATACTGTATGGTAAGTTAAGATTTGAATGTATAATATCAAAAGACAGACATTTTAAAAATATTAGTTAAAATAAGGCACCATAAAATCTAAATTGTAGCTGTACATAGTGAGGAAAACATTCAAAAACTGCCCTAGCACCGGGGGCCCGCACACTAAAGGTGCCCATCGCATGACCCATGTACTTAAGGCAGCCTGATGGGCATGTGTCTTCAGGGGGCCTTCTAATATTGGCAGCCAGCAGGAAGTGAGTGAAGGTTGCTTACTCTCAGCTAAACTGAGCCGCATGGAGAAGAGGAAGAGGGAAGAAGAAGGAGGGTGCGAACTAAAGCCACCCTCTTGCACCTAAAAGGTAGAAAACAGAAAGGTGGCTAAAACATGACCAATGTGTGTCTTTTGGCATTGTGTGTGTTTGTATATCTGTATATGAGTGTATCTCTATGTGTGTCAGTGTGTGCATTTGTGTGTCTGTTTTTATCTTTATGTGTCAGTGTGTGTGTCTGTGTATTTGCATGTGTGTTAGTGTGTATATGTATGTCTGTGTGTGCCTCATTGTTTGTATATATGTGACTGTGTATCTGTATCTGTAAGTATGTCAGTATTTGTAAGTCAGCTAATTCTAGTCCTAATCCCCCCACTAAAAAGGCCTCTGTTTTGTGCACTGCAACATCTGTAGCTTGCTCCTTAAACTAAATGCACTGCAAGCCTGGTGTTCCCATTACCAACCAAAAATCATTGTACTCTCAGAATCATGGTTAACGACTAAAATACCAGAATCCACCATTGCAATACAGGGGTATTCATGTTTTAGAAATGTCAGAGCAAAGACAGGAGGAGGCATTGTTATTTATGTTGACAAGTCCATAAAATGTACTCCTTTAAAAAATGATAACTCTCCTTCTGCCTTTGATTTCCTAAAAATTGAGATCCCTTTCAGTAAAACTATCATTGTTGCTGGAATCTACCGCCCAAATAGCTCTCCTGTGCACTCCCTTTCTGAGATAGCCCAAATACTAAATGAAACTGTAGCTCAAAACCAAAAAAGTGAACTGTTGGTTTTTGGAGATTTTAACATTGATTGGCTGAATCCTAAAAATAATAAATCATGTACGCTGTTTAAGACTTTTCGGCTAATACAAATAATTTCCTCCCCAACTTGCATGAATATTAAAAGCCAGAACCATGCCTTGCTAGATTGGATTCTCTCCAGTTGTCCTGACAGAATCCAGGAGCCGGGTGTTCTCCCTAACAGTTTCAGTGACCACTGTCTGCATACGCAAAATAAAGGCCCAATATTTCTGTGAAAATTTGAACAACAACCTATCAAACCCTACAAACTTTTGGAAAGTCATAAATAAACTAGAAACCCCCCACAATCCACTCCCAACCCTCCACTGTCAAAATGGATAACCAAACCCTGCAACTTCCCTTAGATGTAGCAAATGACTTTAACAATTATTTTGTCGGATGCTCTACTGCCCTGTTTGCCAAGCTAATAAATGACACCCATCCTGAAACTACAAATGTGAATCAGGCCCAGTGGCGGATCCAGGGGGGGGTACAACGGGCCAATTGCCCCCCTCCCCCCCCCCCGAGAAATCCGCCGGTCTCCCTCTCCCTCCCATGTCAGCACATGCAGGTGCTAGCTCTGCAATGTGCCTGCGGACCGGGGAGGAGATCAGAGATCTCCCTCCCCGGTCCGCAGGCACTGTACTTACAGCCGGCAGGGGAGGGAGAGGGAGGAGAGAGGACCCGGGAGCTCAGACTGCATCTCCTCCGGGTCCTCCTCTCGCGAGATTTGGAGCGTTGCCGCGATTACCGTGGCGACGCTCCAAATCTCGCGAGAGTGAACTCTAGACCAGGAGCGCGGGCTAGAGTTCACTCTCCACACTGGACCACCAGGGAATCACCACTGGGACCACCAGGGATCGAAATATGTCCCCCCCTCCTCCCCAGTAAAGGTAAGAAGGGAGGGGGGACATAGGATATTTATTTTAATTAAATAAAAAAAATATATATTATAAAAAAAAGCCACACACACATACATTGCCCCCAATACTGCCCCCCCATTCACACAAACTGCCCCCCATTCACACAAACTGCCCCTATACATACAAACTGCCCCCATACACACAAACTGCCCCCCATACACACATACTGCCCCCATACACACACACTGCCCCCCCATACACACACACTGCGCCCCCACACACACTTTATACTGCCCCACATACACACACTGCCCCCACATACACACACTGCCCCACATACACACACACACACTGCCCCATACACACAAACTGCCCCCATACACACTGCCCCTCATACACACACACACTGCCCCCCATACACATACTGCCCCCATACACACACTGCCCCCATACACACACTGCCCCCACATACACAAACTGCTCCCATACACACAAACTGCCCATCCTTACACACACTGCCCCTCATACACACACACTGCCCCCCATACACACATACTGCCCCACATACACATGTTGCCTTTACACTACATACTGCCCCACACATACACACATACTGCCCCACATACACACATACTGCCCCACATACACACACATACTGCCCCACATACACACAAACTGCCCGCCATACACACAAACTGACCGCCATACACACAAACTGCCCCCTATACACACAAACTGCCCCTCATACACACGCACTGCCCCCACATACACACACTGCTCCCCCATACACATACTGCCCCCGATACACACACACTGCAACTGTTACACACACATACTGTCCCACACATACACTGCATCCCTGACATACACTGCCGCCCTCACTCACACACTACAACCTTCACACACACACTGCACCCCTTACACATTGCACCACTCACACACACACCACTGTTCCTATGCCCTACTACAGCCCCATTTCCCAGCAGATCTCAGGTAAGTTGTCAAACTGTTCTTAAACGGTTTGACTACTTACTGTGGGAGGGGGTCCCGGCACTATTGACACCATAACCACTACACTGAGCTGTAGTGGTTATTGTGTCTGGATTATTTCTTTAAATAATCTACAAGTGCCCCTCCCGAGATCAGGCTCTGGATCCGCCACTGATCAGGCCCCATTAAATTTGCAAAGTCCCAATACAGACAAGTTCATTTTTAGACCTGTACCTGTTAGTGTCATTGAAAAACATCTTAATAATCTAAAAATGAAAAACCAGTCTGGATCTGATCAAATCCCAGCAATGCTGTTGAAGCTCAGTGCGCCAGCAATTGCTAAACCCGTTGCAACTCTAATTAACGAATCCTTGGTGTCTGGATACATACCCAAACTTTGGAAGACTGCGAGAGTAGTGCCTATCCATAAAAGTGGTGACACTACTTTGGTTTCTAACTATCGCCCAATATCACTGCTCCCGGTATTGTCAAAAATCTTAGAAAAATGTGTCCATACGCAACTATGTGAGTACTACCAACAATCAAAATATCTGACCCCTGATCAATCGGCCTTTCGCCAAAATCACTCCACTACAACTACCCTCTTAAAAGTTTGCAATGACATCCAAACTGGCATGGAACAAGGAGACCTAACTGGAGCTATTTTCCTTGATTTTGCTAAGGCCTTTGACACAGTAGACCACGACATTCTACTGCACAAACTCAAAAACTCAGGTATTGGTGATCGTTCGCCAAACTGGTTTCGATCGTATGTATCGGATCGCTCGCAATATGTGTCCATTTCTGACAGCGACTCCCTCCCCCTCCCAGTCTAGTGTGGTGTTCCCCAAGGTTCCATTCTCGGCCCCCTACTATTTATATTATTTATAAAAGGTCTGCAAATCCTCAACTGTACACTCTGTACTCTGCGCTAGTATACCCAAGCTACCGCAGCTTGAGGCTGTGCTGCAAAACCAATTCATAGAGGCAGAAAAGTGGATTGCGGAAAACAAACTTTTCCTAAACACTGACAAAACCGTTACAATGATCTTTGGAACTGTACCTAAATTACGTAAACTACAAAATCAAAATTGTGTATCAGAACAAATTCAAAGAGCACACTGACAGCAGTCTGCTCTTTTAAATATCTAGATATGTTGCTAGACCCCAAACTATCCTTTGGCCTTCACATTGAAAAAATCTCTTCAAAACTTTATCCAAAACTAGGTGTCCCGTACAGAAACAAATCCTGCCTAAGCCCTACAGTAAGGAAACAACAAATGCTGGTAATTTATTATATGGGTGTAGTGTATGCACCCGCACCGCAAACCCACCTTAATAAACTTAATACGTTATATAATTTGTTCTGCCACTTTGTACTAAAATTTAATTAATCTACCCACCACTGTGACATGTTAGAAGAGCTAAACAGGCTGTCGCTGGAATCCCGACGCACTCTTCATCTTTCCACCATTGTGCATAATAGCATTTCTGTGAAGCTCCCACCCTACCTGAGTAGAATGCTTTCCCCAACTATTCCCACCTCCTATAACCACCGATCCAGTACTAGCTTGATATTTAACATACCACAATACAAAAATAAAATGGCTCGATTCTCCTTTTCCTACAGAGCACCGCAATTATGGAATAACCTTAGGGACACAGTCAAATCTTCATTCATTCTAAAACTTTTTAAGAGATCTATGGCAATATACCTCAGCACAGAATGCACCTTTCATGGTTAAATATATTGATTACCTGTTGTGTATTAAATGTATATATGTGTATATATATATTTCCTGGCCATATCCATGGCAGCACAACATTGGGTAGCTCCTCCCTATCCCCATTGGACAGGAATAATTATTAAGCTGTATAAGTACCACCTCCTACCCCTCCTTCCCCAGTCTTTTTTTCCTGTCCTATCCCTAGGACATGTCTGTCTTTTCAGACTGTTAGATTTTCTTTATGGCTTACCTGAGGATTAGTTCCTCTGGCCCCTGGGGAGTTCACCCTCTCTCCCCTGGGAAGTCTCCAGTATACGGCCCTGCGCAAAGGTGTCCCCCTGGAGAGAACCCCTTTAGTGACTGGGGGTTTTGCCTTCCTATGATTCTTCCAATAAGGTAGCAAGTGGAATGACATAGAACTATGGCTGGTTTCCGGACTTGGAATCTCCCCCCTGAATCAAGGTAATGGCTCCATGATTTGGTCTTACCTGTAAGATCATTCTTCTGAAGGTACAGTAGGTAATCGGTCTCCTTCTCTAAAACAACTGTAATCTCTATGTGCTGGTGTGCCTACACGGCGTTCGGGAGTTTCTGTGCGCCTGCGCGGCGTTCGGGAGTTCCTGTGCGCCTGCGCGGCGTTCGGGAGTCTCATGGGCGCCTGCGCGGCATTCGTGGGCTCCTGTACGCATGCGCGACGTTCGGTTGTTTTTAAGCGTTCGCGCGGCTTCATTTGAATATGCGCGCGAACGCGATTAACGAATTGGCGCGTTCGCGCGCAAATCTATTCGTTTGGGCCGTTCGCGCGTTTTTTCGCTCATTTGCGCATGCGCGATGACGTCAGATACCCTTCTTAAAGCGCCAGTTCTCTTTTTCAGGGTAGGTTGAGCTTCTTCCTCCAGGAAAGTTTTTTTTTGTACTCGTTTTGTTGGTTCTTCGCCTTTCCAGGTTCCTTTTTTCCTTCTCAAGCATCGAAGTAAGTTTTTCTAACCCCTCTTATTTCTATTTTTATATATATTTCTTCTTGGTATTAGTTTCGCTGTTCCATCTATTCTTTATAGATGGATTCTCGCTCAGGATCCAGGGAATCGGATTCTTCTCATCACAATAGGTCACAATCTAAGCAATATAGGTAAGCCATCCCCTTTTAAAAAAAAAAAAATAAAAAAAAAAAAGAGAGGTAATGTACTAATGAGCACGTTTGTTGAATTTCAGTGCTAAAAGTACAAAGACTTCAGGATCGTCCAAGGGGAAGTCGCCCAAAAGGACGCTGTGTATATCCTGTGATAACAGAGCCATAGAAGGGAAACGTCTCTGTTCAGATTGTCTCTCAGCAGCAGCTGGCCCTTCTCATTCAACACCAGACTTTATGCAACTTATTAAGCATGCAGTTGCCCAAGGGTATAAGAGAGGTTGGTAAGACCCACAAGCGGCCTAGATATTCTGAGCCCTCAGATTTATCTCCAGGAAACTCTGAAGAAGAGTTAATGGATTCAGCTTCTCTGAGAGACCTAGCTTTTTCCTCGGAGGAGGAGGCTATCCCTGATCCTGACTTCCTGGTACCTGTGGAGGTGGATCATTTAATTGCCCGCGTCAGAGAAACCCTTACCTTGAAGGAACCCTCAGAGGAGGAACCGTCTACATCTAACCGCTATTTCTCTGATCTTAGAAGAAAGAGAGCGGCTTTCCCTGTGCATACTACGATTAGTGACCTTATTAAAGAAGAATGGTCCAGGTCTGACCGAAGATCATCTGCAAAAGGGAAGTTCTCAAGATTATATCCGTTTCATTCCAAAGATGCTGAAACATGGGATTTTCCACCTAAAGTTGATGCTGCAGTGGTCAGACTAGCCAAGCACACTACCCTTCCTGTAGACGATGCAGGTTCCTTCAGGGATCCTATGGATGGTAAGATGGAATACTACCTTTCCAAATCCTATGTAGCCTCAGGCACAAGTCTCCACCCTGCCGTTGCTCTCACGTCAGTTACAAGAGCTATGAAGGTTTGGATACAGGAGCTGGAAGGGGACATCAGGAGTGGCAGAAGCCGTTCTTCCATTGTGGAGGACCTAAGA